CCCATTCTTTCATATGTAGGCCTACCAGCTTTCTCTCCCTAGATTTGAAGGCGCTAGAATTTAGGCGTACTAGTACATCAATAACCCTGGTGCGTAAGCCACACTAGTACATCGGAAACCCTGAAAGGGTTAGTAAAAGTATTAGTCAGAGGGCTGAAGAAGGGTTGTTGAAGTGGTTTGGTCATTTAGAGAGAATGGATCAAAGTAGAATGACATGGAAAGCGTATAAATCTGTAGGGAAAGGAAAGCAGGGTAGGGGTCATCCTCGAAAAAGTTGTAGGGAGGGGGTAAAGGAGGTTATGTGGGCGAGGGGCTTGAACTTCCAGCAAGCATGCGTGAGCATGTTAGATAGGAGTGAATGGAGACAAATGGTATTTGGGACTTGACGAGCTGTTTGGTGTGAGCAGGGTAATATTTAGTGAAGGGATTCACGGAAACCGGTTACGTATTTTTATATAGCCGGACTTGAGTACTGGAAATGGGAAGTACAATGCCTGCACTTTAAAGGAGGGGATTGGGATATTGGCAGGTTGGAGAGATATGTTGTGTATCTTTATATATATATGCTTCTAAACTGTTGTGTTCTGAGCACCTCTGTAAAAACAGTGATTATATATGAGTGAGGTGAAAGTGTTGAATGATGATGAAAGTACTTTCTTTTTGGGGATTTTCTTTCTTTTCGGGTCACCCTGCCTCGGTGGGAGACGGCCAACTTGTTAAAAAAAAAAACTTCAATTATTGAATGGCCTAAACCATGACCAATCATTCTTGGTTATATTTTATTAATCCAAGAAATAGAGTAAAACTTTCATTTTTTTTGCGTGTGTGGATTCAAATTGGAGGGCAAGTGTTATAGGAGAGGCCTGGAGACATGATCAATGAACAGAGACTAGGCTGCTTTTGTGGTTGGAATACCTACAGTACTTTGAAATCTGTTATTAAACTGTAATAGGTTTTAATTTTTTGTAAAATTTGCCAAATTACAGACATCTGCACACCTTATAGAGTAGTTCTGATAGTTCAATAAACAGTTTCTTGCTCTCACTAGATGGAACAGAAGGCATATTAGTGAAACAGCTAGGAATTTCATCAAACTGAACAATGGAAAGAGTTTAAAATAAGATTCCAAGTGGGTGAAACTGCTTTTGTATAAATTTCACCCAGAAGACCTACTGTGTGCCTGCATAATTACATAAATTTTCCATCAGTTACTTTTTTGTGTCATTACCTTCAGAAAAAGATACTCTACCTTTTCACAATAAAAAATGCTTTGTTAGTATTAAGAATCAACACTGCCAGCACTTTTAATTCCAGGGGTTAGGACAGTGAAGGGCTAATGAACATGTAGGAGTGTGAAAAGTGTAACTTTTGTAAAGGGATTCAGAAAAATCAGTTAGTTGGGCTTTAGAGTCCTGGAGGTGGTAAAGGAAGTGCCAACACTCCGAAGAATGGGTGGGAATGGTACAGTTAGAAGGTAATCTGATTGTGAAGTCAGCATATTTCTAGAAAGATAGTATCTTTACCAAATAATGTTGGTGAATGAGTTCTCCTCTTTGGGTCACCCTGTCTTGATGGAGACAGCTGTTGAATTAAAAACCACTGCAATACTAATAAATAAATTATAAAAATATATAATAAAAAATAAAAAAAATAAATAAAAATAATATTTCCATGGGGGAACTGAAGAAGAATCCTTCCTGTGTAAGTCACACGTGCTGCATGAGGCGACTAAAATGCTGAGAGCAAGGGGTTAATAGCCTCTTCTCCTGTATACATTACTAAATTTAAATCACACAATATAGAGAAAAACTAATGTGAAGAACCTGGGAGTGATGTTAAAGGATCTCGTGTTCAAAGATCACAACAATGTATCTACCACATCTGCAAGGAGGGATAATGAGAACTTCAAAACTAGAGATGCCAAGCCCATGATGATTCTCTTCAAATCGCTTATTCTCTTTAGGCTGGAATACTGCTGCACACTAACAGTCCTTTTCAAAGTAGGTGATATTGCAGACCTGGAGAATGTACAGAGATTGCAGACCTGGAGAATGTACAGAGATTGCAGACCTGGAGAATGTACAGAGATTGCAGACCTGGAGAATGTACAGAGAACTTTCACGGTACATATGAGTATGTTAAAGCGCCTAAATTAATGGAATTCAGGTGAGAAAGATGCATGATAATACACACTTGGAAAAATCTTAGAGGGACTAGTCCAAAATTTGCACACAAAAATCACTCCCTACAAAAGCAAGAGACTGGGTAGGAGATGCAACATCCCCCCAATAAAAAGGAGGGGCGAGACAAGTACACTAAGAGACAATACAATACGTGTCAGGGGCCCAAGACTGTTCAACTGCCTCCTAGCATACATAAGGGGAATTACAAATGGACCCCTGGATGTCTTCAAGAAGGCACTGGACAGGCACAAAGTCGGTACCTGACCAGCCGGGCTATGGTTCGTACACTGGTTTACATGCGACCAACAGTAACAGCCTGGTTGATCAGGCTCTGATCCACCATGAGGCCTGGTCACAGACTGGGCCATGGGGGCATTGATACCCGAAACCCTCTCCAGGTATACCCTCCTTCGGTGGGATACAGCCGGTTTGAGAGAAAAATAAAAAAAATAATAGTAAATAATCACAGTAGTAATAATAACATTAAAATAAAAGTATAAGAGGCAGGGACAAATGAAAGTTGAAAGCTCAAAAGGTGCTGATGCAAATAATAGTCACATACTTGATGAACAAATTCAATCTTTGTACTAAATAACACAGTACAGCACTAAACTCAAATGGGCTATTAAATCAAGTGTCCTTACTCCTTTAACTGTATTCTTTGTGTTTTCTTATTTTGTTTAATTCAACCACCTCCTCCCATGTATGTTCTTAGTGATGGTAACAACCTTCATTCAACACAAATTAGTTTCTCAGTGCAATGATCTGGCACTATGTGTAAGTTGCTACATCAGTAGATTGTTTTCTTACGAATAATTATAATTAACTAAAGACAAGAATGTAGCTCATCTTGCCTCATGAGTTGGTCTGGAGATCGATTTAACATTCAAAACAAACTTAAAGGAAAAGACTAAAGCTACTATATATTTTACAAAATTTAATAATTTTTCCAAGACCAGAAAAAAAAAAAAAAAAAAAATAATGCACAAAAAAGCGGAATGTAGCTTTACCAAAACTCATGTCAGTTTACTCCAACAGACAAGCCCAATGAAATTAATCCTTAAAATTTATCCACAAGTGACACATACAATTGGCAATATGGCCTTTGAATTATCCTAGCCCCATTTGGAGGAAAAATTAAAATTATCTAGTACGTACTGTATAAGCTGTAATAGCTATGGAACAATAAGAACACCCAATGTTCCAATCTAAGCTTCCAGAGTTCTCCCTAAGTCTCCTTCATAATTTAATACAAAGTAGGGAATGGAAACAAGCTTGAGGAAAGAGATGAAAGGGAAAGGGAAATGGAGAGAAAGAGCAAGTCTTACAATGCATACCTACTTTAACCCTTTCACTGTCTCGCATAGACCTATGTCACTGACACCAGCGTCGCTCACGTATATCTACATTCTGAGATCTATTCCTTCAGATAAACAGTGAACAGTAAATTTTAGCCAAGACATAAATGGATCTGTGCACAGTGTATATGAAAAAGAAGTCCTGCTCCACTCAGTGCATGATAGTAAAAGCAAACCTCTAACTTTGCATTTGGTTTAAAATAGCAACTTTGAAGGGATTGTCTAGCATGATTTTTATGATTTTATTGGCTGTTGCTTGGTATTAACTGATGGAGTGAAAAACATACTAATCCTTCCCTGGTCTGTTTTATGGGTTTTTCTAGGTCTGCTTCAATTACTGGGATGACCTAAACCATGTCCATTCTTTATTTCTTAGATTAATAATCTAAGAAATAAAGCAAAACTTTCATTTTTTTTTGTGTGGTGATGGATTTAAAATCGAGGGCAAGTATTACACAAGTGTTGTTTTAGTACCTGGAATGCCTACAATGTAAATCTATTTTGGACCATTTTTAAATAGGATTTTTGTGTTAAATTGGCTAAATTACTATTCTTGGTGCACATTATAGGTACTTTAGGCAGTTGTACGAGTGGTTTCTTGTACTCAGTCGATAGAATGGAGGGAATACTTTTGAAATAGTTAGAATTTGTGTTGATCTAAGCATCGGAATGCATAAACTGCGTCCAAACCTCATTTTTTAATTTTACAGGTCGCGATAGTGAAAGGGTTTTTTTTTATCCAAGAAATACTGAATGCCAATACTAAAATATTTACCAGCACATGTAATAGGTACAGTGTAATTAGACAGGAGACTGTCTATGTATGTATTACTATTGTGAAAAAACTGAAGGTGCATTTTGACAAAAATTATAGCGCAATTGTCAAAAATCCAAACATCTAAGAAACAATGCAACATTCTCTTTTGTACAAAGATCTATACACTTAGGCACATGCATTATTCCATTACTCATGTAATTTGTACAGCTAGTCACACATGCATTGCGCCCTTCCTCAAACAAAGTACAAGAGAATTAAATATGAGTAAAAGGATGCAATAATGTATTAAAACTTTCATACAAAGTAAAAATGGAAAGCAAAATAATGATGAACAGCATGGCAAGAGAAGAATGCAAAACCAATATAACGAGAGAGATACAAGAAATTACCCAGTAACTAACCATCATGCATGGGTAACAACACACTCCTCAGTAGTTTCACAATACTAAAGCCAATTTTGAAATGCATCAGTGAAATTTTGTTATTATTACACAATCAACATATCAATGAATCTCTGAATATTTTCAATTAAAGTACATTTATTTTATATATGTAAACATACAGCAACAGTGAAAGTGGTAGAATTTAAAAAACCATCACACATGTACCTCTAATAAAGATGTTTAATTACTAATACACACGTGAATCATCTGCCTCTTTGAAAGCGGCTGAAAAACTTACCACTAATAGATTTATTATCGTCGGAGTGACTTTGGGCACTTTGTTGCTTCCAGGTGGTTTGATTGGGTAAGGCAGCAAAGGTGGTTTTCTTCTCTGAAGACTTACTACTTCTCCGTGATGAATCGTCTTTATCTGATTGCATATATATAATGTTAATACCCCCTGGAAGCTGCTCTTTTAATTTAGAAAGCTCAGCAAAACTAGTAGCTTTGACCATTTGCTTTTCTCTGTCAAATGAAGCATCACTCTCACTTCCAGAGTCAACAGCCTCCACAGAAATTTTTCTTGGATCTCGCACTATTAATCTTTCTTTGCTTGTGTACTGTGAGGAATCACGTTTCTCACGTTCCAGAGCCTCCCTTTCTAATTTGTCTACTAAACGATTATCTAATTCTTCAATGCTGCCACGATGCAAATCTAACCGTCTTTCAATACTGCGATCACGACTGTTACGAGATTCAGGCCTCGCACTGCCCTCTCTAGAGTCCCGCAATTGTGACCCTTCTACGTTTGAGCTCTCCCTCCTACCTGTGTGAACAAAAGGCTCTTTGTCAGGGTTTCTGGAAATATAATTTAAATTGTCCTGGCTTCCACCAAAATTTTCTATTGTTAACTGGGAATCTTCTGCACTAATTGAGTTACGACGGGATCTTGAACGACCGTGAGGTCTTTCTTCATAACGAGAGGGCATTCCAGCAGCTGGGAGATCAGGATGGGAGTTATTGAAGCTACCACGCCGCCCAAGGCCTCTACTTCTCTCGCCTAATTCCTCTTCTTTACTGTCCATGTTATATTTTTCTTTGGTAGTAGATCTTGAGGAGTATGAGGTCTCTAATTCCTGTGAAGGCCGTGGAGACTGTGTGCGCATCATATCACTGAGCGTGGCCAGCCCTCGGGAACGCTGTACAACAAAATCACCCTCTTGGCCATCACTCATTGAGCTAAAAAAACAAACAAAAAAAAATACATTAAAATATGAGAGGGTTTTCCTATCATACAAAAATCATTTTTCAACATTATGTACTTAAGGCTAATCCGAATTCCTTTTTCAGAATAAATGGTTGAATCAAGTAGCTTCTCATTCCACTCAGTATACAATTTGAGAATATTGTAAAAATTAATAATTTATAGAGCATTAGATCCTAATATTAATTGCACATACCATATTAATTCATACAGTAAAATATGTTTCTGACAATTTCACACCCATTAGTATAATGCTATTATATCTATCAGTCTGTTGTATATGTTAATGGTTCAAGAATCAATGATCCTGCAGATCGGTTTCACACCAAGCCTCCTAAATTTTAAAAATTAAGAAATAGAAGAAACTAAATTGTACACTGAATATATAAAAAAATAATACTTTCTTTGCCTTCTTCCAAGTTAATGATACAGAATTAATAGACCAGCAATCTTGCAGAAAGCAGAACATTTAACAAACTTACCATCAGACCTTGCAACATCCTTTTCTTTCAGCTGCTCTATGGCTAGATTTATCCACTACTTCCATGATCTGATCCTCCACACAATGAACCACTGATACTACATATATTCTTAACCATTCTTTCAAGTGTTTTCCACATGGACATACTGTCTCAGTCAATCCTTCCACTTAACTTTTTAAGTACACCAATATTCTGCTTTAATGCCCTTAATTTTTATAATTTATGGTGGAATCAAAATCCCTTCATGGAGACAATTATGCAAACACTGAACATCACAAAAAAAAAAAAAAAAAAAAAAAAGACCAACAGGCTACACACATGCTTAAGGTAGAGGTTATTTTAATTCAATCCTGTTAAGTGCAAGGTAATGAAAGAATGAGTGAAAAGACGATATGGAATACAATATGGTAGGACACTAAAAACATGCAAGGAGAAAGATATAAGAGCAAGCATTGTACCAAGCAGATCACCAGAACATATAAATCATACAGCTACAGATCTACATGCAAAAAAAGACAATCTAGGAAATGCATTCAGAAACATAAAAATTAATTTAGGATATAATGAACAAACTACGAGAGTTTTTCTTTTTCGGGCCACCCTGCCTTGGTGGGAATCGGCCAGTGTGATAATAAAAAAAAATAAAAATAATGAACAACACAAGCTTCATCCTTATTAGAGCATGTGGTGCCAGTGTGGTTTCTGCACCAGATCAAATACATAAAGAAATACAAGATCCATAGGTTTGCAAAAAAAAAATTTTTTTTTTTTAACACAAGTACTTTTTCAGTTTTACGGTAGTTTGTGTGTGGAATGCACTTGATGAAGAAGCAGAACAGATAAATAATCATTATACCCAGTTTAAAGAACAGATATGATTAAGCCCCGTTGGCCAGAAATCAGCAAAAAATAGCTGAAACAGTTAAGAGACAGAGCCAGCAGCTATTTCTTAACCCTTGCAAACAACTAGGAGATGAACTAGACAATTATTACATTCACCAAGGTTTTCTTTCTAGAATTATTCTTACTAAATCACTCAAGACTTTAAACTCAAATGCTATTTTAAAGTGCAAAAGTCCTCCCTAAACTCACCTCATTAATTTGAAAGTTAATAATATACCAAGTTATTAGCTTACTCGAGTCTTCAATAGAAAAAAATGTTAAATCAAACCATTATTATACAAATACATACTGTACTTGCAATGTAAACCCTTAACTAGACAGTCTTTCCTTCACACAGCATATTTCTTGTTCACTGACAGAAGATAAATAATAAGCACAACTTGAAAGAGATACAAGAAAATAAATGAGGATTTCTTAACATCAACAAGAAAGAATTAGAGGTAAAACAGAATGTAGGATTGCGGATGAGCAGGGAGGCTTCAGAGTGGGTAGGGGATGTGTAGATCAAGTGTTTACATTGAAGCATATATGTGAACAGTATTTAGATAAAGGTAGGGAAGTTTTTATTGCATTTATGGATTTAGAAAAGGCATATGATAGAGTGGACAGAGGAGCAATGTGGCAGATGTTGCAAGTATATGGAATAGGTGGTAAGTTACTAAATGCTGTTAAGAGTTTTTATGAGGATAGTGAGGCTCAGGTTAGGGTGTGTAGAAGAGAGGGAAAATACTTCCCGGTAAAAGTAGGTCTTAGACAGGGATGTGTAATGTCACCATGGTTGTTTAATATATTTATAGATGGGGTTGTAAAAGAAGTAATTGCTAGGGTGCTTGGGAGAGGGGTGGGGTTAAATTATGGGGAATCAAATTCAAAATGGGAACTGACACAGTTACTTTTTGCTGATGATACTGTGCTAATGGGAGATTCTAAAGAAAAATTGCAAAGGTTAGTGGATGAGTCTGAGAATGTGTGTAAAGGTAGAAAGTTGAAAGTGAACATAGAAAAGAGTAAGGTGATGAGGGTATCAAATGATTTAGATAAAGAAAAATTGGATATCAAATTGGGGAGGAGGAGTATGGAAGAAGTGAATGTTTTCAGATACTTGGGAGTTGACATGTCGGCGGATGGATTTATGAAGGATGAGGTTAATCATAGAATTGATGAGGGAAAAAAGGTGAGTGGTGCATTGAGGTATATGTGGAGTCAAAAAACGTTATCTATGGAGGCAAAGAAGGGAATGTATGAAAGTATAGTAGTACCAACACTCTTATATGGATGTGAAGCTTGGGTGGTAAATGCAGCAGCGAGGAGACGGTTGGAGGCAGTGGAGATGTCCTGTCTAAGGGCAATGTGTGGTGTAAATATTATGCAGAAAATTCGGAGTGTGGAAATTAGGAGAAGGTGTGGAGTTAATAAAAGCATTAGTCAGAGGGCAGAAGAGTGGTTGTTGAGGTGGTTTGGTCATTTAGAGAGAATGGATCAAAGTAGAATGACATGGAAAGCATATAAATCTATAGGGGAAGGAAGGAGGGGTAGGGGTCGTCCTCGAAAGGGTTGGAAAGAGGGGGTAAAGGAGGTTTTGTGGGAGAGGGGCTTGGACTTCCAGCAAGCGTGCATGAGCGTGTTAGATAGGAGTGAATGGAGACGAATGGTACTTGGGATCTGACAATCTGTTGGAGTGTGAGCAGGGTAATATTTAGTGAAGGGATTCAGGGAAACCGGTTATTTTCATATAGTCGGACTTGAGTCCTGGAAATGGGAAGTACAATGCCTGCACTTTAAAGGAGGGGTTTGGGGTATTGGCAGTTTGGAGGGATATGTTGTGTATCTTTATATACAATAAGATCACAGTAAACAGGTGATTTCAGAATATGCAAAACAACCACTCTGAAAAAATAGAGAAATTCCAAGTGCTTTCGTGACTACTCACATTATCAAGGAACTTGATAATGTGAGTAGTCACGAAAGCGCTTGGAATTTCTCTATTCTTTCCGAGTGGTTGTTTTGCGTATCTTTATATGTGTATGCTTCTAAATTGTTGTATTCTGAGCACCTCTGCAAAAACAGTGATAATGTGTGAGTGTGGTGAAAGTGTTGAATGATGATGAAAGTATTTTCTTTTTGGGGATTTTCTTTCTTTTTTGGGTCACCCTGCCTCGGTGGGAGACGGCCGACTTGTTGAAAAAAAAAAAAAAAAATTATCTGTGACATAATAAACAGTATAAATAACATAGAAACATGATACGTATATACACCTACCATCCGACTTACGACCTGCTTGTCTTACGACCACTCGACTTACGACTGTGTTTTTTATGCCAAATTTCTGGGAAATAAACAACTATTTGTGTTGTACACAGTGTTTATCCTAAACCTTACAGTATAAAATACAGTACTAACAGCATAAAAAGTAAAGTAAAACATGAAATACCAAAATAAAACAAAATAAAGTCATTACAAAAACATTTTGTTGATATTCAGTAGTAAAGTTCGACGTACGACCGGTTTCTCGGAACCGAACTCGGTCGTAAGTCGGATGGTAGGTGTACTTAAGAATAAACAAAATATGTCATTATGTGATGAGTGTTGGCAGCCATTCCCGCTCCCACTCTGACCGTACTTCCCCTTCAGAGGTTTTATTATAAGAGAAAATGGAGTATTTGTGAGGCTAACTACACTAGATCACTAGTTTCACAAGGAAAACACTGTACAGTGAACCTCCGCCTTACAATATTAATCCGTTCCTGAGAGCTCATCGTATGCCGAAATTATCGTAAGGCAAATTAATTTTCCCCATAAGAAATAATAGAAATGAAATTAATCTGTTCCTGACACCCCAAAGGATGAAAAAAAAAAAAAAATTTTACCACATGAAATATTAATTTTAATACACACAAACTGAAGAAGACATGCACAATTACTACTCTACTAAGAATAGAATACATGACACTTACCTTTATTGAAGATCTGGTGATTGATGGGATGGGAGGAGGGAAGTGTGTGGAAGTTGTTATTGTTTAGAAGGGGAATCCCTTCCATTAGGACTTGAGGTAGCAAGTCCTTTTCCGGGGTTACTTCCCTTCTTTTAATGCCACTAGGACCAGCTTGAGTCACTGGACCTCTGTCGCACAACAAATCTGTCCATAGAGCTCTGTGCCTCCCGTTCCTTTAAGACTTTCCTAAAATGGGCCATAACATTGTCATTGTACAGGTTGCCAACACGGCTTGCAGTAGCTGTGTCAGGGTGATTTTCATCCGCAAAGGTTTCCAGTTCAACCCACTTTGCACACATTTCCTTAATCTTTGAAGTAGGCAACTTCCTTAATTTCTCTCTCCCCTCCTCTGAAGCAGTTTCCTCAGGTCTGGCCTCTTGCTGTTGAAGATGATCTAGCAGCTCATCAGTGGTTAGTTCTTCATTGTCCTCCTCCACCAAATCTTCCACATCCTCCCCACTAACCTCCAACCCCAAGGACTTCCCCAATGCCACAATGGATTCTGCAACTGGCATATGATTCCCAGCAGAGTTCAAGGTCCTCTTAGTCACTCCCTCCCAAGCCTTACCTATAAGGTTTACACAACTGAGGATACTAAAGTGATCTTTTCGAAAACTCTCCTAGAGTCAATCGAGTGTCTGAGGTCACTTCAAAGCACTTTTGAAACATAGCGTTTGTGTAGAGTTTTTTGAAGTTTGAAATGACCTGCTGGTCCATGGGCTGCAGGAGAGGAGTGGTATTAGGAGGCAAAAACTTGACCTTAATGAAGCTCATGTCCCCTGAAAGTCACTCTGCCAAGTCTGAAGGATGACCAGGAGCATTGTCTAATACCAGGAGGTACTTAAGGTCTAATTTCTTTTCCATTAGGTACTTTTTCACATTGGGGGAAAATGCATGGAGTAACCAGTCATAGGAAAAGTCCCTAGTGACCCATGCCTTACTGTTTGCCCTCCACAGCACACACAAATTAGTCTTGAGGACATTCTTTTGCCTGAACACTGGGAGTTTCAGAGTGATACACCAATAAAGGCTTCACTTTGCAATCACCACTAGCATTAGCACACATCAGAAGAGTAAGCCTGTCTTTCATAGGCTTATGTCCTGGGAGTGCCTTTTCCTCCTGAGTAATGTAGGTCCTGCTTGGCAATTTCTTCCAAAACAGGCCTGTTTTGTCGCAATTAAACACTTGTTCAGGTTTCAATTCTTCAATGTCTATGTACTCCTTGAATTCCTTCACATATTTTTCAGCCGCTTTTTGGTCCGAACTGGCAGCCTCATCATGCCTTATCACACTATGTATGCCACTACGATTCTTAAATCTCTCAAACCAACCTTTGCTGGCCTTAAATTCACTCACATCACCACTAGTTGCAGGCATTTTTCTAATTAAATTGTCATGCAACTTCCTAGCCTTTTCACATATGATCACTTGAGAGATGCCATCTCCTGCTATCTGTTTTTCGTTTATCCACACCAATAACAGTCTCTCAACATCTTCTATCACTTGCGATCTCTGTTTCGAAAACAAACTTGCACCTTTTGCAAGAAAAGCTTCCTTGACTGCCGTTCTGTTGGTCAAGATAGTAGCGATGGTTGATTGGGGTTTGGTATACAACCTGGCCAGCTCCAAGACATGCACTCCACTTTCGTACTTCGTAATTATCTCTTTCTTCATTTCCACAGTTATTTTCACCCTTTTTACCACAGGGTTAGCACTAGAAGCTTTCTTGGGGCCCATGTTGACTTATTTTGCAGCTACAAGCACTAAAAACACTGTGATAATATGAAATGTACCGAATGTATGCTTAGATGCAACCGCACTGGCCGGCTTGTAAACACTGGCACCCACGGGACAGCTGAGGCCGCGTCCCGGACGAATCACGTAATGCGAGTTTTTTATCATGAGGCGAGGCAAAATTTTTGTGTTCAAATGCTTCGTATAGCGGATTTAACGTAAGGCGATGCGTTCGTAATGCGGGGGGTCCACTGTATTTAAAATAAGAAATATTGTATAAAAACATAATAAAATATAATAGAGAATGTAAAGAAATAAACTTGCTATATAGTGTACGTACACACTTACCTTGGAGGAGATGCTGGCAAAGGTTGAGGGTGGGAAAAGATAGGAAGAGCGGCGTATGCTGTCTGTGGCCCTATAAACACCAACATTAACACTGGAGGAGTTCGTTTCGTTTCGTCCTTTTTCTATCGCTTAACTTACCTGCTACACTCTTAGTGCTACACTTAAATTGCTGTGGCGTACGCTGCGCCAACTAGTGGCAGCGTCCTGAAGCTCGCTCATTACTATTATTATTAATTTATGGAACTGGAGCACAGATCCAATTCCCTAGATCAAAAGCCGCTCACCAGCATCAAGGAACCTTGATGCTGGTGAGGGGCTCTTGATCTGGGGAACTGAATCTGCACTCTAGTTCCCTAAATTAATAATAATAATAATAATAATAATAATAATGAGCGAGCTTCAGAACACCGCCAACTTAGTGCACTGTTTACCTCGCCATGGAAGCATTTCTCTTGTGTTCTGCTTGCATTTTGTGCATTTACCTTGCCAAATTTCTTTTTTCTAGCCATGGGTCCTAAGAAAGTAAGTGCAAAGGACAGTGCTGAGAAGAAAAAGAGGATGATGTCCATGGAATTAAAGCATGAAATCCATAGATAAACAAGTAGTGTGTGTGGGTTGAGGGTTGAGGGGGAAGCTCGCTCATAACTCAGATGTTGGCTCGTAACTCAGAACAAAAAACTGACCGAGCGATGTCTCGTATATTGAAAAACTCGTATGTTGGGACACTCATTAGTCGAAGTTCCAATGTATTTTCAATTGAACATTTGTAATATTTGCATCCGTGAATCAGAAATGTTAAGAAATTAAGTGACTGTTAAGTGAAGGTCATCATAACTGACATTTGAATCTTAGGAACCTTCTTTATGATGCTCAATGAGAATAAATTTCAGTTGCTCCTCTCTGAAAAACTTGAAGATATAAAACCTGCAACAGTACAAAACACAAACCATTCAATGAAGTGGAAGAAGAATGAATGGAGTTTTGGAGTAATGATGTTAAAAGATTTTACATTCAAGGGTCATATTAGTGTTACCATCACAAATGTAAGGTAAAAATAATAGTATAACTAGATAACAAGAACCATCATAAGAAATGTCAAGTCAATAATGATAACCTTCAAAGCATTTGCACTCCAGACTAGGGCATACATGCCTTAAATTAGGACATTACTGTACAATGCTATACAGTAACATCTTAATTTAAGGGAAGAAAAAATGCACATCTAAAAAATGTCTTCGAATGTTTTTCTGGAATCCGAATGCTCTGACTTGTTTAAAATTCAGTTGTAAAAAACTTTACATGAAAGCCCTATTTCAAAAGTGGTGCTTTGAAGTGACCTCTGACACTGACCTAACTCTCTAAGAGGCTTTTGGAAGTGTCAGTTCAACATCCTCCAGTGTGTGAGGCTGATAATTAAAGCCTGGGAAGTACTGTTTCGGACATTAAACCTTCTGCAGTTCAACCACCACCTACAGACCAATGAAGTTAAAACACCATGCTTTCACGGTAATTATCAGAGCAAAATATATAGCAGATGGTGAAAAATAGTCTCAATAAAACGAAGGATTAAAATACGTACAATCAATGGAAATTTAAAAAACTATATGAAAAAATGATTGAAGATGGGGCAATGCTACCATAGCTCTGCTCTTGCAGCTTCAAATACATAATTACAATAAGCATGAAGGATCCAAAGCTCCTTAATTCCTGCCTTTCAAATACAAGATGAACCTGGAAACCTGACAACTTCCTCTAGGCAGTTCCTGATCAGGCAGGCAGGCTGTGGAACTTGCCTGGGCTGCATGTGGCTAGCATCAGCATATTAAAAGCTTGGTCCAAGAGTGGGGTCAATGACCTCCATAACCATCAAGAGGTCAACCTGCCATTCCTGACTGTTCATACTCCTATTTTATGAAAAAATTTTGGATATTGTATAAAAAAAAAAAAAAAAAATTATCCTTAAAAATTACAGCTCAAGTTCAACTTGCAACAGCACAAACAACATACTATATACTGTACATTATCTGTATAATAAACTTTAATCAAGATAAATGCTAGTTATTCCTGGAATTTTTATTCAAATCATAATTGCAATGATTAGACAGCACAGGTTAATAACATAAGCAAGTAATAAGAACCTAAAATTTAATTTATTATACATTATGGCAATGGATATGCTGCTAAAACATCTAATGACGTAAGAAGCTTTTCCCCCTTATAAAATTTATTTTTAAATAAATGTACCATATCAGGAAAAACAAAACAGAAAAAGTTCCTATTACATAATACCATCATGCATTCTGGTCTATAGTTATAAAGCATGCCCTTAAGCAATTTTTAATACTGTAGCATTAAAGTCAGCTGAGCAAGGAATTAGCAGGTAAGGCTAGTGAGAAATCAGTGATTAACCAAACACAATTTCAAGATGATTTAATTAAACCAATCACCACAAATTGTGCTTTTGATACTAAAATGACTCACCTATCTCTGCCACCATAATCACTGTTATAAGAAGAAGGTGCATTCTCAGATCTCTCTGTTCTTTGTTCTATCCTCGATCTAATATCAGCCATATCATTTAAATTCATAGAATGAGATCGTCGTACACTTGGAGCTCCAGCAGGTTTCATCCCTGGCATCAAGAAGAAATGGATATTATAAGCAGTGTATTAAAATAACTTCCGTATGAGAGATACTAGGATCTAGATATCATGAATTTTCTTCACACACACTTAAGCAAAACATCAAAAAATGCACAGCTGCAAGAGATGAATGTGGATACACTGTAGATACCAAATTTTTTACCTTTGAAATCTGCTATTAAAACTCGTGCACACAAACTAATGCATGCACACACATATATGCATGTGTGCATTCTTAGGCATTCCCCCCCCCCCCCCACACACACACGTGCACACACACATGCACACATTCAAGCAGGTAATTAGAAATTGGAAATTACAGAATGCATGACAACAGAAAAAAAAATACTATGAGCTCAACAGAAGGTTCCAAAGTGTGTTCACAATTTAAAAAGGACCAATGCACAAGTCAGCAAGGAGAATTAACAAAATGATATCAAACACACACTACTAACCGGGAAGAATGAAAATGCACAATATTTTACCATGACTGGAACAATACACAAATAATCTGCACATAGATCACACACTTATGATGTGTCAGTCTGACCTGGACCATTAACTTATTCTCACAAAAGCCTGAAGATAAGGGAGCTTGTATGACTAGTTAATGGTCAAAGTCAGAATGAAACAGTCATAATAAAATTGAGTTTCCTATGTGCAGGTTATGTGTGTACTAATCAGGAAGTGAGGAGCCTGCAGATGACACCTGACACATTAGAGGCATGAGGGCTAAACTGACTATCAGAAACCCTATTATTAGCTGGGTTTGCAAGGCAAAATTATTATTTTATCAATCTTTAACACACCAGCCATCTCCCACCAAGGTAAGGTGACCCAGAAGAAGAAACACCATCACTATCATTCACTATCAGTCTTGCCACAAGTTAGCCGATACTACAGTTCAAGTGTCCCTCCAAACTACAAGTATCCGCACTCTGCCTTCAGAGTGCAGGCACTGCATTTTCCACAATGTTCTGGTACATATTCAGTGGGTTAATGCTTTCTTAGTACAAATATATTAAAAAGACATAGAATTGTTTTAGTGTCCAATACTAATTTTGCTTTGGCAGAGAATAATCCCCCAAACTGGACACCAATCAAAATACTTTTGAAAGGGTGTTCACTATTTCTCACTTCAAAATTTTTGATCACTAATAAGGTTTTCTTATTAGTGTCAATATTCCACATGAGAGAAATTATGAAATGCATTAGACTCTTGAATAACAGGGTAGTTATAAACCTGAAACCTGTCTTACGCAAAAAGTGAATCTAAGAATATGAGAAATACAGTGGTATCTCGAGTTTCGAACAGCTCCCAACTCGAACAATTATGTAAGTGTATTTTTGTAAGTGCTTTCATAATTGTATTTTTGGGGGTCTGAAACAGACTAACCTAATTTACATTGTTCCTTATGGGAACAAATTTGTTCGGTATCAGCACTCAAACAGCCTTCCAGAATGAATTAAGTTCGTAATTTGAGGTACCACTGCATAGGGATATGTTTCTGGGATCCCCTCAAAAATACTAAACAATTTCTTTTAAGCTTTTTACTTTGTCAAAAGTAATGAAGTCTTGACACTTTACATTTTGGATGTCGTTGCTTGTTTATCGAGAAATATGTTTTGCACTCAAGCCTAAATAAAAACCTTGCTTTTATTTAGACCTGGGAAAGGCTGGTGTTTGACACAGCATACCAACTATTCCATCCAAAGAAAATGGGCATGGGATTTGGTACCAAGAAAATGAAGACTGCTAATATGCCACAATTAACTTAAAAATTTAATACACAACCTCACTGGGATAAAATACATAACAAAAAGGCACAATACACAAATAACCCACAAACAGAAGAGGGGAGCTTACGATGACATTTCGGTCTGGCTTGGCCCCTCTAGCTCCCTTGCAGTGCTCCTCCTCCTTAATCTTCGACTGACTCCACTACTACCTCTACCACTACTTGTCTTCTTACTTTCCTACTATCTCTTTTGTCTTGTCCCTGTCTGCTGGTTTATATATACTCCCTCCTCTCCTTTCTGTTAGTGTGACTCTGTAAATGGTCCAAGTCAGACCGAAATGTCATCATAAGCTCCCCTTCTCCTATGTGCAGGTTATTTGTGTATCAAATATGTAAAAATTTAAGAAAGAATGAATTTTACCTTAAATCAAATTCTCTCTCTCTTGCTTGTAGATGTACAAGTCTGCAGATGGTCATGTAGCTCCTGCCACTTATAGATTTCACTACATAATTTTCTTGCTTATTTAACAGTGACATGACAAATTTTATCCTACCTTAACTTTCTTATTTTCTTGCCTGTTGATACAGAAGTGTTTGGAGATGGTGGACAGCTGTGAGTCATTTTTGTTTTATCAGCTGAGGGCTGTGGGTCAGTCATCTGTTGAGGTTAAGAGGGCCACTACAGCATATGTAGTACTGAGCCAGTCAGCAATAGGCATTCTGCAGTTTTCCTGCCTGAACCACCTTTATCAAAACTTCATGTGGTGCTATTCAAGTTTTATGATGTGCTATGCAAATTTATGCCTCAATTTTTCAACCATGTTATGCAAAAACATTCAAATGAATTTTATTCTAGGGCCTACTGTAGTAAAATGTAGGTACAAAATACAAATTATTATAATAAAAAACTTCTTGTTTGGAAGGAAAAATGCAAACAGATAAGAAAAACATATTTATGAAGATGTCGCTGGTGGGGTCTAGCAGCCCTCATACCATATGCTTTAACTTATAGAAATAAAATATCAGAATAAATAAATTATACTCTTAGAATGTTTGCCAATGGTGTACAAATCATACATAAAATAAAAAATGAATCAAATAAATATTTACCAGAGGATTTAGATAAATCAAGCACTAAGAATAAAAAAAAATGATAATGCAACTATGTTGATAAATGTCATATGCTGTAATGGAAATACAGTATAACGTAAGTGAAATAACAAGAAATCCATAATGATTACAATTTGTGAAATAAAAAAAAAATGGATAAAGGCAAAAACATTAATGTGAATATAAACACTAATGCATAAATATACAAACAAAGGATATCAAGACAATCTCTTATGCTAGACTGTCTAATTTGAAAACAGCTTTTACAAACATGCATAGTACTCATCATTAACGTATGTCAGCACCCCCTGTAAAATCAAGACTTCAAAACAGATTGTCCCTTGCACTTTAGGAAAGCCTTCACCCTGCTATGAAATGATTAACATGCATTCTTCAGGGTTTCATGGGGTAAACTACCCCGTGACTCACAGATGGCATCCTAAAGCTGTGGGAGTGGACTGATATCTTTTCTCTAGTATATCTCTGTTTGGGAGATATTTGGGAGTAGATTTGTCAACAGATGGGTTTATGAAGGACAACGTTAACCATAGAACTGATGAAGGAAAAAAGGCTAGTGGTGCTTTGAGGTATCTGTGGAGACAAAAAACCATTATCCATGGAGGCAAAGAAGGAAATGGATGAGACTATAGTGGTACTAACACTTTTATACGGATGTGAAGCATGGGTTGTGAATGTTGCATCGAGGAGGAGGCGGCTGGAGGCAGTGGAAATGTCGTGTCTAAGGGCAATGTGTGGTGTAAATATTTGTGGCCCATGGCCTGGTGGAAAAAGCTCTTGCTTCACACAGTGAGGGTCTAGGTTTGATTCCCTGTGAGAGTTGAAACACTGGTTATCTATGTTCACTCATCAGCATAAAATGGGTACCTGAGTGTTAGATGACTGGTGTGGGTTGCATCCCGAGACAAAATTGACCTAATTTGCTCAAAATACTCTGCATAACATGCAGCCTTCTACATAGTAGTATGTTATTGATGTCAGCTAGGCCTGTATACCTTGTACATGTACTTGTAGAAAAAAAGGTATTAAACCAAATTATGCAGAGAATTTGTAGTGTGGAAATTAGGTGGTGTGGAGCTACTGTAGTGGAGGAGAGGAGGGGTAGAGGGTGGAGACATCCTAGGAAAGGATGGAGGGAGGGAATAAAAGAGGTTTTGTGTGCAAGGGGCCTGGACATGCAGCAGACATGTGTGAGCATCTTCGATAAGAGTGAAAGGAGACGAATAGTTTTTGGGATGTGACGAACTGTTGGAGTGTGAACAAGGTAATATTTTGTGAAGGGATTTAGGGAAACTGGTTAGCCGGACTCAAGTCCTGGAGGCGGGAAGTAAAAAGCCTGCACTTAAAGGAGCGGCTTGAGATATTGGATGTTTAGAGTGACATCTAAACTGTCATATCTAGGCACCTCTGCAAAGACAGTGATTGTGTGTGAATGTTGATGAAAGTGTTTCTTTCTTTCTAGAGGTCACCCTGTCTTGGTGGGGGATAGCCGGCATGTTGGGGGAGGGGGCCATACCTCAGCCAAGAAGTTCTCAAAGGGGTTTACTGCTGAGAAGATTCTTGGTCACTCAAACAAAAGTACATACTTCAGTCACAAAGCCACTGAACAACAGATTTCGTGGTATGGCAAGCAGCACTCTTATGCATAAAAACCTTGTGCCACACTGAGTGAAAGATTCAGACACAAACCATTTCTAGGTACATCAGAATAATTAAAATTGGCAATGTATTATTAGACATCGCTAGACGTGCTTTTAGTGGGCATGTCATGAACACTGTTTTCAAGGAACCGATGCAACCAGGTCCTCAATGGATGCTCACGCGCACACACTGCTGGAACTATTTCCTTTATTTGATGGCCTGCCTTATGTAATCCAATGCTCTCAGCAATTCTCTCTTGTCAGTGACTTAGCACTGCCCATATTAATTTGGCCACTACGCAAGCCCAGAAGGCAATATTTTGTTAATACAGTACGTATTTGTAAATTCTCATACTTTTAATAAAAACTGCTGCTACTTACAAGAAAAATTAAGCAATATCTCATATTTTACATGCAAGATTTCAGGTACATCTTGCTACTTCTACTTACACTTAGGTCACACTACACATACATGCAGAAGAA